TAAGTGGGACGGCATGAATTCTTGATTAATAACAGTGTTATCAAAAGATTTTCGATGAAGGCATAAGTTTGCGGATGGTGTGATACATCCTATGTAAATTTATGGAATAGCGATAATTTTGAATTGCTGTAGCTAAAGAACGCGCTCGTATAGTCTCCTTATTTCACATTTCAAGATTTCAGCATTTTCAAAATATTAGGAATGTTGATAATTTTAATGAAAGGGAGAGAATTATATATGCTGATAAAAGGAAGTTGTAGAAGCCGCTGGCAGAAAGCGCCATTCCCTCGATTCTACCTTTGGCCCACTGATTTCTTCTCTAAAAGACATGACCTTTCGTCTGCTTGATGCTGGTAACATCAATATTGCGCCATACCGCAGCCGAAACAAACCCAATAACCCAAACAGCCGTAGCAGCAGTAAACAAATACATCTGAGTATCCCCATAAGCATGCTGAATGGCCATGCGAGTGGGCGAACCAACCGGAAACGACAACTGTGTGACAATATCTCCATATATAATATCCAAGTTTGAAAGATCGTCGACAGGGAGATACAAACCGAGTTTCTTGTGTAGAATATTTTGCCAAATAGCAGCAGAAACGGTGAACCCAATCGCATTACCAATATTTGAAAATAGCGACAAGACAGCGAGATCGACTGCAAAGTATTGTTGCTTTTCGCAAATCGCCAGCACTGCAATCTCTGCGGTGATCATGATGATACCACTGCCGAAGGCTATGAACATCTGGCTCATGACGATATATCCAACATTCGGGGTAGGCTGGCGAAAGTAAATCATCAAACCGGCTCCGAGAATCTCAAAGGGAATCGCGAGCCAGAGAGTGATGGGCTTATAACGTCCGGTGTAAGATATAACCGCCCCCGCAAAGATGGTGAAGATAAAGTTGGCAACGGTGTATGTCTGCACAACATAACTCGCGTGTGTGATATCCAAGCCGTTGGTCACTTGAAGGATCGAGCTGAAATAAGCGCCCCAGCAGGCATTGCTGAGAAAGAGGGTGAGTGACAGGATACAAGCGCCGAGGCTGGTCCGATCCCGAAGGAACTTCCAAGGTATAAACGACACTGGGGCGAAAAATCTCTCCCAGACTCCAAACGCAATGAGAAGTAATATACCAAATACAAGAAAACAAACAATCATAGCAGAGCCCCATCCCTTGGCTTGCATCGTGTACAGATTGAATGGTAGCAGAGAGAAAGCGGCCCCAGCAGATAGTAGAAATAGACCGACAGCATCAAACTCACGCATGTGGTAAACTAGAGATTCCCAATGGGAACGCCCACTCGCGCGTGTCGGAACGATGCCTTGCTTCTTCGCTTTGGAAAAGTGGTACATAAATAGACCGAAGAGTGGAAGTGTAACAACTGGAACTAAAATACTCTCCACCCCGAACGCCCAGCGCCATCCGGCTCCATTCAGAAAGGCAGACGAAATGGGCCCTCCTAGCCACGGGGTGATCACATATGCTGTACTACACAGGGCTACCACAAGACCTCGATGGCGCAGTGAGGTGGTGTCCGCCAAAAAGACATTAAGGGTGAACCCAATGCCATTTATTCCAACCAAGTAAAAGACTTGCGATGCGGCATAGGCCTCGACGTTGTTGCAGGTAGCAGATATCACCAGACCGATAACTGCAATCACGACACAGAAAAGAAAACCCTGAGGTCGGCCGAAGATATCGAGAGCCTTGCCGATGCTGAGATTGGTGACGCCGCAGATGACAGAACTCAGAATACCGGTGGTTGCCGTCAATGAGTGGTCCGCGAAATCCGATGTAACGTACGGAAGAAGCGCTCCACTGACTCCGGATACCAGACCTTGAACAAAGTATACGAGCCAGATTAGAACGTATGAAACAATAAGTGCCGTTCTTGACCAATAAATAGTTATGGCCTCGACATCCTGGACGCCTTTCTGGAAACTGAAATCGACGATGTAATCCTCAGATTTGGTTGCGCTTTGATGGTTTGAGCCGTTTTCTGATTCTTGGGTACCTTCCTGAACGATCTCATGGATATTCTCTAGCTTCTCATTGGCATAATTGTCGACCTCAGGCTCGATTGCCATAATTTCTAGACTATTGAAAGGCTATAGATTAATTCTTAGGTATATAATGTACAAAACCGATGAGCAAGATGAGTTCTTGACCTATTATAGGAGATTGAAGGAATTTTCTAATAGGATTTAAGATATTTCGAGATTAGATAAAAGGGGATTAAGCAACAAAGATCCTTCTGAAGAACAAAACCAAAAGAGAAGCATCTGAAGCATGATCATATATATCAACATGATAATAGTTTCCATGGTTCAGTGCTCGAGTCATAGTCTGTGGTAGAGAGCTCGTCAGCGCAACCTTTCTGCACTTTGATATGCAAATGAATTAGAAAACTAGCTCAAGTCAGCAGCCACAAGCAGTAAGAGCAGCCAATCCGAAGACATGAAAACTCTGAGCGTTCGTCCTATTTTTTTGATATCTAGAACTGCTTTCCTGCTAGACCACGATTTTATCGTGTAAAATATGCAATAACCTCATGCGATGAGCGCACGGCCAGTGATATTACGTGAATTGCTGGTGGGTATGGAAACCAGCTCTAATGTGCTCATCCTTTGGCCAAGCTTGCACTTGCTCCACAATTCATGAACACCACTAATTACAACAAATATGAACGTGCAATCAACATGTTGGATTCGAGATACAAACGAGTGACCAAATAACGGATCAACGCAAAAAGTTAGATCAAGAACTTCCAGTGATAAGGTTTCATAGCTTATAATCGACTTTGGCTTTATGAAATCTAGACTAGGTAGAAGTCTGTTTCTAGAATCTCAATTTCTATATGCTCTTTCAAAATAATATCTAGACTTTGAAGAAGCTCTATCTATTGGGAACGTCTGAACCGTAGGGGAATTTATTTGTACAAAGGTGTCCCCGTAGCGCCAACTGAAAAATTTCACATGAAGATGGAAGCATCTTCATCGAGAGGACCCCGGACTATTTCAAGAGTAACCATATCTCGTTTGATTACGATAAAGCATCCGGTTTTCACTTATAATACCCCCACTTAGATATTTAATTGGCATTATGAGTTGATTTTTCCGTGCCTGTAGGCAGATGAGTCGCTACTTAATTAGCTTAAGTAGTTACCCACACCCAGTGTCGGTATCGAATCGTTAAAGGCAACCCCGCCATGTCGGCCTGGTATCGACGTGCATTAAGCGCACCAGTCGATGCGTGTACTGTTCTACTCATTTTTTCGGTCTTTCGTCGACGAAGAGAGAATATTAAAAATCACCCATCCTGAATAGCCCCAGGCCATTCCCAAACATTTTCGCACGAATGTTCAACGGGGTCCACGAGTTCGTTCCCCTCGAGATACTCCCAAGGCACCAGATCATCCGAGCCGGATCGATGGCTCGCGAGCGCGTCAAATTCAGATTGTGCAATGATAAAGTCTAGTTTGCCATGCATCTCCTTGTCGCGAACCGGGTTTCCCTTCACATTTTCTATGCGTGCCGTTTGTTGGTGCTCAGGACTTGTGTGCATATCTTCTGGAGTGAGTTTCGCTGTTTTTGTAGCTAACGGTTTCATTGAGAAGGACGGCTGATCTTTGTCTTCAGACTCCGTTAGTCGCCAAACGTAAGCTTTTATCCTATCCAATTCGACCTGGGACAGTCGCCGATCGATATCAGGAACTTGATACTAAAACAAGAAGGATTAGTTGACTAGCTTAAATTAAGAACTTCACCTAAATGGTCAATACGAGATCCCAACTTGCCGTATCGGTACTTTCCAACTCTACCATGGCAGCATCCACTGAGAGCCACGATGGTGTCTCATCAAGCCATCCACCGCAATCTAACGGCGCCCCAAACTCTTTCGGTGTCGCAGCAAGACGAAACCCAGCTAAGCATTCGCACTCTTTCTCCCGAGTTGTCTAATATGCGGTAAGGGAAGAAGCTTTTGAAGAAAGCTTTTGGCGATGTTCCAGTTTCAAGTGACTGGATCGTTGGTCGACGGGAAGATGGGCTTGATTGCTAAATGACAGGATAAGAAGGACCGAGAGAGTATATCCACACAGGTGTGCGTGTGAACCGATGACAATAACTGCTTTTATATCTTTAGAGGAGTTATCTGGATCATGATTGGTATTAGGACCCTGGGGCGGAGGTTGGGAGGTTGAGGCTTCCTGAGAGGTTAAGGAAGAGCGCACGAGGTCTGATTCTCTTATTATTAGGGATTGCGATTCGGATTATCGACCCCGGTGCGGGAGGTGTCGAGGTGATACTGTCGACCTGGTGTGTGGAAAAGGTTGAATGGTGAAAGCTTCCTTGATGGTATCCATTGGTTGATTTTTCGATACGTTGGGATGGAATAAGGATAATGGCGAAACGGAAAAGCTGGCAGTTAAACATGATTCAAATGCCATTTAATATCTATTTGATCAATTGAGTCATGATGATCGTCATATTCGAGCGTCCACAGGCACGAGCATGTCGCATTTGATAGGGGATCTACTCTCAATTAAGCTTAAAGCATAGGCGATAGGATACGCCTATGTTCAAGTATAATACGAAATATCAAATGAATATTCGTTAATGAGAATTACAGGGTTATAGGCGAAGACTACTCTACGATACTTGAGCTCATTTCGATATTTCATTATGCTTCTTAGCACGGACTACTGGGTCGCTAAGGGCTTGGACTTGGACCTCAGAATCAACATTGCCTGACTGTAAAGGAGGGGCGTTTCCTGTTTAGAAGACTTTCTAGCTTCCAAACCCACCCTTGCCAATTTTATACCACATTTGAGTAACATTTCGGCAATTAAGTTCACTAAGATATATATATCTTAGAGTTGTTGACAGTCAAAGTTTGAATGATTCTGCTCGGATAAACGTGTGGGCTGTGTGATCGTTCAACAACGCGGGTTCAAAATGCGCATTCGCAAAATGTGAAACTTCACAGCAAAACGCTCTTATAGCTCAGTTGGTAGAGCGCGACACTAGTATCATCTTCTCAAGATACTGGATCATGTCGAGGTCAGAGGTTCGAATCCTCTTGAGAGCAATCCCGAGTCCAAGGGGTTGCCTGAGCAGCTTCTCTTTTTTTGCTAAATTTTTTGCTTAATTGGATGCTTTAAAATTCTGGGGGTGGTTTGGATCGTGGATAAAATGAATTGGACATCGTGGCAGCTTTTGATTTTTTTGGGCGAGTGGCGCGTGGACGGGAAGGGTTTAGAGGAGCAGGGGGAGATTCGATGCATTCGAGCCAAGAAAACAGTGAAATGCGGAGAAGGAGAAGAGAAAGAGAATTCGAAAGTAGCGATTGGACAATTGTATTGATTTCGCAGCTGTCGGATTGATAAGAAAATCCAGATATCGATGGAATGAGATAAATAGTCAAATTGGCCGGGTCTACCAATTTATTTCAAGGCGCAGGATATAACTCCTATTCCCCTTTCATCATCCATAATTCACTCTCAAGCTTCGTTCCGTTCAACTCTACGAACTGGAAACGGTGCACGTGCGTCGCCAGCTTTGGCTGGAATCCAAGCGGGCAACCCCGACTTCCAACACCGAAATGAATTAACTCGGATTCATCATGTTGACTAATCATCTGCAACCTCAGAATCGGCCGACATGCTGCAACATAAGCGCTCTCGCCCGGCTCATCATCACCATTAAAACTTAGTTTTGAAGCTTAGGCACCGAGGGCGCGTCTTATTATAAAGCCTTGGGAAAGCTTACTACACCCCTGCTCGCTGCAGCCCTACCGTCGCGTCCCGAGAGAATACAACTCGAGTAAATGAGCTCCTGGTAGTGTGAATATTAGTATATAGTAGCACCCATCGTCGTGCATTTTATAAATTTTTCCAAAACACCATTGCCATTCGAAAATGTCTGTTGAGATCAAACAGTACGAGGAGCACGCCGGTGGTGTTGGCAGTGCTAGTGGTGCACCAAGAACCGATGATGCAACACCCCATCCAGCCCTTCGACACACAAGGTCTTCGGCAGACACCTTGCGAGCAGCGGTGACGCCCTTCGCTGCCAGATTAGGTGGGAACCAAGAATTCGTGCTAGACAGGACTGATCCGAAGAACGCAGCGGTCCTCCAGCATATTCCCGATGCCGCGCCGCATATGACTTTCCGTGAGGCATTGGACCTCCACGGCTTTAGACATCTGTGGCTTTGGAAAACAGCTGTGATGGAAGGTATAGGTGAGTTTTATATTCGAATATATCACCACACTCCTTCATACTTGTTTCATAAACTCATCACTCGTATATTTAAATGTAGGTACTATGTTGTTGGTATATATCACCGGCTGGACTTCGCTATCACCGGGCGCCTTTCCGCCCCCTCCGGATCCCACATCTGCGTCTGGCATATTTTCAACAGCTCCGTTCCTGGGACCCCTAGTAGGCGGGATAACCTCCGCCATCTTCATCGCCATGTTTATCTTCTGCTTCGGATCAGTCACAGGAGGGCATCTGAACCCGCTAATCACAATCTCTACCTTCTTCGCACGTCTCACTAGTCTCCCGCGGGCTATCCTCTATGTAACCTTCCAAATCGCGGGTGCAACCCTTGCTGGTCTCCTCTTACGTGCATCCTATGACGGGCGGGATTTTAAGGTAGGAGGATGCTGGCTCAACCCTGCTGAGATCTCGGTAGGTTCGGCCTTCGCGACAGAATTCTCAGCGAGTTTGGTGCTGGTGTTTATCGCGTTCGGGGTAGGGTTGGACCCCCGTCAGGCGCAGATATTCGGTCCTTCGTTGGGACCGATATTCGTCGGGTTGGGTGCTGGATCGGTGATTTTTAGCATGGCGTTCACGAGACCGGGGTATGGTGGTGCGGCTATGAATCCGACGAGGTGTTTCGGGGCGTTTGTGGGGAGTGAGTTTCCCGGGTGGCATTGGATTCATTGGGTTGCTACCGTGCTCGCTGCGGCGGTTCATGGGGTTGTGTATTATCTTATACCGCCTTGGGATGGGATGGGAGGACACGCGGAGAAAGTTTTGGTGAGAGGGGGCGAGAAAAGGCGAGCTGGGGATGAGGAGAGTTCGAGATAACGCATGTGTCTCTATCAGGAAGTCAGGGTTTTGAAGTTTGGCAGATAGGCGGACATCGCTAGTTTTATGATATTAGTGAGGCATGATTCCTACCTTGTACCTCAGGAATGAATAGTAAGATAATAATATTATTTAATTTTTGTGTTTATAGAGTATGTTAATTAATCGAAATACTGGCATTTGTCTCCGTGGCTACAGGGCATATATAGAGCATATATATGGTATAGGTTGGGTATTTACGGACAGATACTCCTATCATCAAGGCTCCCAAAAGTATCCTATAATCTAATCGAGTTAAAAGGCATTTGGCTAGCGAGATAACAATGTGGGTATTGTAATCCCAATCCCATGTTTAGTATTCGTTTCACCCATGCTCACCGTAAGATAAAATACATCCTTAAACCATTGTTGGAATTGGTGCGTTGCGCCGCGCCATCCGCCTCGTAAGCTGCCCTGGCCGACGCGGCGAACAGCTGCAACCAGCTACTTTTGAAGCTTGTCGCCTGGCTGACGTCGGACTTCAATCTTTAATACTTATACAACATCCAGAATATATCAATTATATCAAAAGAAGCTGTAGTCTATAGAACCCCACATTAGATCCAGGGATCCCGTAGAATGAAACCCAAAAAACAGCCTCCCCAAGCTGTATCAAGACTAGATGACCCCTACTCCCAATTCAAGATTCGCCGAAACCTCTCCCTCCGCTGCTTCGCCAATAATACCACCACCACTACCACCCAACCTCCTCTTCCACAATCCGATACTCAAAACTCCAATTACATAGCAGGCTTTAACCGTCTCCCCACCGAAACCCTCCTCCAAATCTTCGGATACCTCCTAACCTCCTCCACCCCGATAATCATCGACGACTTCAAAAAACAAGACGCCGCATCAACCAAATCATGCTACTCAAACTTCACAAACAAACCAACATACAACTACATTGGCGCCTGCGCTGGCTTATTCCTCGCATCCCGCCACATCTCCGACGCCGCGCTGACGACACTCTATAGCACGAACATATTTATCCTCCGCCTTCGCGTCAATTTCACACGTAGCTGGTTACTCTCCATCGGACGGGAGAACAGGGATAGGCTGGTGAAATTGGAAGTGGGGATATACAGTCGCATATCGCAGTCCGGATGGGGTGAGAATCTGAAACGGGAGTTTGCAAAGCTCGGTGGGGATTTCAGTGTTATGAGACGGCTGAGGAGAGTGGACTATAAACTCGAGTGGATACACGGACGGGATACACCGGGACGATACGAGACTTGCGATGAGATTATTGAGGCGGAGAGGGGGGGTATGGTTGAGGTACATGAGAGACTATTGAAGATATATGATGAAGGTCCGAAGCCGGTTATTCGAGTAAAGTAATTCCCCTACCCTTACGGTTGCGTATATCATACTATCTATTGAAGAGATTATTACTAATTGTTATATAATGTTGATAGCATTCATCAAAACTCAATACAACAAGTCGAACCCTCCCCGCCATCCTCACAACAGCAATCAAAATTTCTATCCCTTCCCGACGACATTATCCGCAGGATACTAAACCATGCCCACACAGAAGACAAAATATACCTCCTTTCACCGCACAACTACAACGGCGTCAAAGAACTACCCGGTCCTAAACCGACACAAACAATAATCGGAATGGTACTAAAACATCACTCGCCGTGTTACGGATACTTTTCGCTTCTCCTCACATGTAAAATCCTCTCAGAAATGATGAGGGAGATGATATACTCCCGTTCGAGTTTTAAACTCCGCGAGCGCGCCTTCGCTACTTTTTCCAATGCGATCGATGCGAGGGATTTATGTAGGATTACGAGGTTGGAGTTGATACTTGGGGATCCGAATCAGAAACGGGTGGTGTATAATATATTATGCGTAAAGGGTATCTTGCACCGTCTGGTGAATGGGGAGAGCAGGATTAAGTATCTAGAGATATGCGCTCCGAGAGTTATGGTGCCGTATATCTCGACTTTACGACCATTGTTGCAAAAACTGAAGGAGAGGGAAGGGTGCAATGTTGTCGTGACGGAGACTGATAAGGTGGTGGTGGAGGATACCCAGTCTATTACGCAGGCGGAAGCTGAGAAGAATGATATTTCGTGGATATTGGATATGGATTCGAACGTAGTTTGGGCTTGGGGGTGGAAGAGTCAGAAGTGGGGGCACATGAGGTCTACAGGGGAGATTATTTTTAGTGATGGGACGAGGGAAGGAGGTGGTAGCGGTAGTAGTTCTAAGCAGGGTGACAAGTCGGAGGAGAAGGTGAAGGAGTCTGGGGAGGAGGGGAAGAAGAGGCAGAAGGTAAGGAAGATGTTGAAAAAGCTGAAACTTTGAGGGGGTATGGTGGAAGGAAGTCCGGTACTAATATTCTCGTTGCCATAGATATACACAGGTTTACAAACCATGGAAATAGACTTTTGGATTCTTTAGGTAGATAATTTATGATTAATGGATATAGATGGAGCCAATAATATATTACCCTACGCAGTATAAAGTTACATACATTTCAACCCCGCTATTAGATTACCCTTTATCAATACAATAGAAATTCCAAAACCCCACTACACTATCACCATATTGGAAGAAATGCTATTAGAAAGCAAACACCATACCAACCAACCCTACAACTGCCATTCTACCAGCTTGAAGTCCCGAAGCCCCACCCGTAAAGGTAGCCTGCGGCAACGAGGAAGAAACAGTGCTATTAGACCCGGTCCCGGACCCTGACCCTCCACCGGCACTAGAACCGGCACCCCCACCACAAGCCGCACACTGAGCATCCGTTCCAAATCCCGAAGCATCAGTGATATCACTTTCGTAACAAAACGACGCACCATTCTGATTCTCACAAAGGAAAGCACAGCTCGCGGATGCGACTGTTGGACATTTCGCAGGAACGCCTGGGCAGACTTTACACGAGATGTTATTCGTTCCGCTGGCGATATATTTGGTCGTGCAGGATGTCGT